TGCTGCTGGTAGGGGTAGAGGTAGGCGCCATAGGAGGCGCAGCTGTTGCAGGAGCCGCCATTGTATGTAGGGGAATAAATGATTAGTATTATGTTGCTGTTGTTGTTGTTGTTGTTGCTGCTGCTGCTTATGCTGCTGATGCTGCTGCTCTTGATGTTCGTGCTGCTGCAGCAACAGCTGCTGCTGTTGCTGCTGCTAGATGTGGTGTTTGTTATAGTGTTGATGTATTTATGTTGCTGCTGTGTTTATTCCTTGCAGCAAATATTGCTCAAAGAGCTGTGTCTGCTGCTGCAAGACCAGCAGCAGCAGCAGCAGCAGCAGCAGCAGCTGCAGCAGCAGCAGCTGCTGCTGCAGCGCACGTTACCTCTAAAGGAAATATATTCTTGGAGGGGCAGCAAACCCCTTCTTCTTTTTTTGTTTTTGTTTGCAAAAATAAAAAGAAGCAAAAAGAATAAATAAGTTCTTTTTGCTGCTGCTGAATTTGCTGCTATTGCTGCTGCTGTGCTGCAGTATACAATTCCTAATTAACAATGCATGCGCAGCAGCATATACTAGGATACAGGGCTGCTGCCGCTGCTGCTGCTGCTGTTGTTGTTGCTCGTCTGCTCAAGGCAGCAGCAGCAGCAGCAGCGGCGACAGCAGCAGCAGCAGCAGCAGCAGCAGCAGCAGCGGCCTCGGGGCTGGGCTGTGTGGGGAGGGCGCAGCCGTGGTGTTTGTGCTGCTGCTGCGTAGGAGCAGCGCAGGAGCAGCAGCAGCAACAGCAGCAGCAGCAGCAGCAAGAATTTCCTTTTTTTTAGGAAATTTTATATTGGAGGTGAGCTTTTATTTTATGTATAGATTTAATTTACTATTGCTGCAGTTGCTGCAGTTGCTGCAGTTGTTGCTGCTGCTGCTGCTGCTGCTGTATGGGTGTGCTGCAGCAGCAAATTGTTGCGTGCTGTGGCCCTTCTTTCTTGTGTTTGTTGTGTTGACGAGTATAAATTTTTTGTTGTTTTGTTTCTTTTATTCTTTATAAATTATATCTAAGGAAGAATAGGTATTGATGCATTTTGCGGGGCAGCAGCAGCAGCAGCAGCAGCAGCAACAGCAGCAGCAGCAGCAACAGCAGCAGCAGCAGCAAATAGGGTTTATTGTTTTTTTGTGTATTTTTTTTCTCGTGTTTCTGCGTGTATTTTATGCCTAAGAATCGTCTTATTCAAGGGTTTAGGGTTTAGGGTTTAGACTCTCTGGGGTTTAGGGTTTAGGGTTTAGGGTTTATAGGGTGTATTGTTGTTTATATACATTTGCTGCAGCTGGTTGCTGCTGCAGTGTTTATTTTTCTGCAGTGTATATGCAGCAGGATAAGAGACATGATATAGATATAGATATATAGATAGAGGAGGAGACAGAGAAGAAAAAAGGAGACAGATAGGAAGGAGACAGATAAAAAAAGGAGACACAAATAGATAAATAGATAAATAGATAAAGAGACACCTAAATATACAAATAAGGAGACACTTATACCTTAATGTATATATAATATTATATACCTATAAATAAAAGGAGACAATAATAATAAATAAATAATAATAATATATGTACATATATATGTATATGTATATGTGTGCAGGCATTGTGCATGCATGCACATAGATAAAAAAAAAAAAAAAAAAGAAGAAAAA